CCAGGATCCATCCATACTGTATTGTGCATACATACAAAAAGCACGCTCTCCCTTGAACCCAGCAGTGCGGAGAAGCTGCATTGCATTACTTGGACTGGACTGGACTGGTTGGTGGCTGGCTTGCCTTTCCCGTCCCATGCAGGCTTCGCACAAGCTCTGCCAAGCTGCTGGTTCTGGACCAATCCTGAACCAATAATTCTCTCTCTTCGACCCCGAGGGAGCAAAAGCTGGGGCAGGCCCTTTTTTCGTCGTCATCTTGTCTCTTTTCGGGGCCCGGACCCCCCAACCACGCCGCATGCCGTGAAGAGACTAAGTAAGACCTCTGACCTGAGACCCAGCAAACGCAGAGCATCGTTCTGTCTCACTTGCTTGCGTCTGGCACTATTTTCCTGGGCCTTTTTTTTTAGCCTTTGTTCTTCTTTCTTAATTGTACCCGTTTGCTTTAATCCACCTCGGTTACACCTTATTTCGACTCTTTGCTTTTTCTTTTCCTCATCGTCCTCCTTCGTCGTCATCATCATCTTCTTCTTCTTCATGAATCATCTTGTTGCTTGATATATCCCAGCCATCATCACATCGAGCACTCATATATACCGTATATACTCTGTATATATACTCGCACACACAGATATATATAGTATATATATATACGCACCAATCTCGGTGCGCATACATGAGCTCCGCACAAGCATTCCAGATCCTCAAAGCACAAACCAGCTGAAAACCACCACTCGGACATCAAGCCCTATTGCCGCGCCGAGATCGAGGCCGGGCGTCCACAGCCTCCACTTGGCTCCCGAGGCCCTTTTGCACTAGCTGTCGCGTCTTTTGCTTGTTAATTGATAGAGCTGGGTAGCGCAACCGGAATTCCTGCAACTCCGTCTCTCTCTCTCTCTCTCTCTCTCTCTCTCTCTGTTGAACCTTTAACGGCTGGCATACCCACCCCCCTTGGCTCATTCTCAGCCGACTCACCACACCACCGCTTCGCCTATGCAGTAGTCCAAGAGACTTCTCGCTCTCGTTCTTTAGTCTGGGATTTTTCCTTTTTCTTTTTTTATTCTTTTTTTACTCTTCTTCTCTGTTTCCAATTCCCACCATCCATCTTCGTCGTCGTCGTCATATTTGACACGGCATTACAATTCCGTTTTCATAGTCTTCTCTCCTGCTTGTAGCTGGGCCACGGCATCATTACCCACGCCTGCAAGTCAGGCTCTTAACTGACCCTCTCCCTCGATATCCTCTCTCTTCCTTGGACGTAGCTCTCTCAAATTCATCTCCTCTCGCCAAATATCAATCATGTCTCATAACGACTCTCCACAAACTCCTCCTCTGCGTTCATCGCCCTATCCCAGCGCCAGATCAAAGCTTCCTCAGCTATACGTCGTCGATACCACCATGAAGCCGCAAGAAGACGACGCCAACGACCAGCCGTGCTCACCCCTGTCACCGGTGTCAGCGTCGCCCTGGGAAGACGCCTCGGCTGCATCAACCGAAGCAAGCATCCCGTCAACGCCCACAACCCAAGTCAGCCTCAACGATGCTCTGCATACGGCCTCTTTCCCTCTGCTACTTCCAGACTTCCCCAGCAGCAAGACCCAGCCTTCATCTCAGTCAGCCCCCTCAGAAACCGCAGATGTAAAGGTGCCCCCTGAATCAATGGGGGGCCCCATCAAGCACATCCCGCCGAGATGGGCCCTCAAAGGCGACATTTACACCTTTTCCTTTTGGACGCCTCCTTCGGCTGCTGGCTCGCTACCCGAACACGCATACTCACCGCTCGAGGGGAAGACGTCGTTTGCCGACGAGACGATGAGCAGGCCGGTTGGTGGCCTGAGCATGATCCAGATCCTGAGCTACACGGACTCGCCCGTGGGGCCATATGACGAGATGCTGGTGGCGCCGGGCAGCTTTGAGTGGGAGAGGACGGAGCCTGGAGGCGAGAAGAAGAAGGGCTGCAACCCCAAGATTACGAGGATCTATGTGTCAACGCCGAACAGCTGCTTCAACGGGAGGACGAGTAAGTGTTTTTTGATATTTGTTTGTTCGTTGTGTTACCGTTGTGTGATGGGAACTAAGGAGGATATCATCAAACCCCCCTTGGCCTCCCCCTTTTCACCATCATTTTTGCCCCGGCGGGGGGGGGGGCGGGGGGGGGGGGGGGGGGGGGCGGGGCG